AGCATGCTTTCTGGCGTGAGGAAGGCTGCTGAGTCTTGACTGAAAAGCGCACTGGAAAGGACCTCTAGTGCCAGAACTGCACTGCTCGGTGCCAGGCAGCAGCGTCCTGCCACTTCACCATCCATCACACCACTTCCCAGCAAAGCCCCACAGTTTCACCTAGCGACGGGCATCAGAGAAAGCACATACTGCAATTGCAGCAGTAAACCTCCTTTTCAGGGCAGCTGATTAGAAATATTCCCTCAGTCTGTTCTCAGACTTTGGAGGGACACGTTTTCATTTGCTTCAGAAAAACAGGAGATGGATTCTTGTGTACCGTGTAGGTCAGTAACACGTCAGAGCATTTCAGAGTGGTTTTACATGGCCTGAATGGCATGACTTAAAGGGACCTCCAAAGACTGACAAATTCAGATGAAAATTTGGAATGAGGATTCAGAGTATTACTCAGACTATGTCAATGCATTTTGTTCTTCCAAGACTTTTTAGCTGTAGGCAGTTTCGCACAGGCAGCAGAAATATAATTTAACTGCATTTTTAAGGCAGCTCCTTCTGGGTGAGAGAGTTTGGAATTCTTGATCTGAGCTCAAACAAGGCATAATTTCATGTGACAGTACATGAAAAATATGTTAGTGTATGTATTCAGGAGAATACTTAGATAATAAGACAGGCCAGATTAAGAAAGCTTATTTATTAGGCATCCCAGTTAAAAAAGAAAATAACTTGTTTTAAATTGAAGTTGATGATTCACCCCTAAGTCTTTTAAAGTCTTCTCTTGCTATATTTAGGTTTGCCTTCAAGTCAGATCAGTTCTATCCTTTCTCAAAGTAGCCTAATTTACATCTTCAGCATTACAGGCCACAACTTAGATCTCTTCTAAATGATCTCAGCAATAACCTCTCTTTCTTTACCCCCAAAGCGTTTGTATCAACTTGAGAAGGGCCACAAATTAAAGTTGACATTGTTAAGCAGAGCAATGCAAGACAGCTGCTCATTATTATTCAAAAATAGTATCACCTATACTGCAGTGGTGCTCCTTGTGCCATTAAGCAGAGTGCTGGAAAGGAAGCAAGCCATTTCACAGAGCAGTTGCCTGAAGAGAATGATACTTGCACTTGGGTCTGAGGCCAGAAGGATGCATCTGCTCTGTCCTTCACTTAGAGCAATAACAGTACTGCCCTGTCAGAACTGAAAAGCATCCCTGAAAGTCACTTGATAGAAGCATTCACACAGAAAATGACTAAACCAAAGACACTAACAAGTTCATATCTTATCAGAGACCTGACCAAAAAGCAACCAGGGTCTCTCAACCTCAACCTTTTTGGACCAAGCATCATCAACTACGACCATCACTAGTAGCAGAATAATATCTAATTTCGAAGGTGTACGAGTGCTGCTGCAAAGTCTAATTGTCTCCCTGCTGTAGGAATCAGTAATCAAGGCAAAAAAAGCAGCAGTTTTCTGTCTTGAAGAATTTCATAAATTATTGTACAGTAACATTGTGTACCACAGAAATTGTCCAAAAGACACCTCTAGGATTAAAAAGAATAAAGAATTGAAGCTCATGAGGATCAGGTAAGGGTGAGGATGAAAGACAATACCCTATGAAGACATTTCTCAATGTTCTTAAGCAATTCATCTTTTGGGAATTAAAATCTTGAATCTGAACTGCTTTATGATAGAAGCAACAACAAATAAAGAGAGACCTGACCAAACTCTAAAGAGAAATGACAGGAAACAGGACCTTCAACACACTGGCTGAATGAGGTAGAATATAACATTTGAAGAGAGATGCAGATAAAAAAATTATTTCAGAAGCAATTAAAATCACTTCTAAGGACAGAGTGGGGAAGAAATGAAACACACAGATGTATATTTTTCTTTAGGTTACAATGCAAAATTTTGCCAATAGTATGAAGGAAAAACAAAGCAAGACTTTTAAAACAAGCTAGTTTACACACAAGGGAAAGCATAATATAGAAGAAAAAAATTCATGCTGTGTTCCTTCTTTTCTGATAACAAAGTTGGTAACTTGCTTGGACTCTCTTTAAAAGTGTCAAACCCCTGCATCCATGAAACTTCCCACTATTCCTCCAGATAGTTGCTTTCAACACCACCATTGCCTCATTTACTTCTCAGTGCTCCATTAGTTCTGCAGTCAAGCACTGCTCATCTGGCAGATAAAGATCACAGTGTCATTTTGAAACTGCAGAATTTGTGAATTTATGCGTGAACAGTGTCCAGCTTTTATCCACCCAGTTTCTTCCTGTGTCTTTCCAATGAGAAGTTTTAATTTACTGTCAAGACAGCTGTAATAATGAATGTTTTATTATTACTACTACTCTGACCAGGATTAATGTTCGGGGAAAAAAAATCCAAACACAATTTTAAGTATTTGTAATGGCCTCTTAAAATTCAACTACTTTCTGTGGAAAACACAACACTAGAACAGATATAGTAACACAAATGTTAAACTAGTGAATTTTGCATCATGGTGAGACGACTACTTAGAAAAAACTTACCCATTCTTTCATGCAGCAAAATCTCTGTACACTGCAATGTCTTTCCAAAGTGCATTCCTACTTTCCACAATGAAAGGAGAGGCATCACACTACAATATTCCCTCCTTCCGTTTTCCCATGTCCAAAAATAATTTTATTTTACTTCCTTTCCACTTATTGTGGAAATCTCCAGAGGAAAGTGAGCAGGAATTGTTTATATCAACAGCCTCTAAAGTGGAGTGCATACAGCCCAGGGGGTCCACAAGGCAATCCACTGGAGGGCAGGAAGAAAGTAATTTTTGATGTACTACTTTATTTATTACAAAATTCTTAATGGTTTTAATTTAGTTAATAAAATAATATTTTAAGTAGTCTTTATTTCATCTTTATCTCATCCTTTTTTAAATTTCTATTGTGCATGTTCCATAGTCTGCATAATTTATTACAGTAGTACATGTCTGTAATTTATAAGTAAGTATATATGTATTGGGGGTGCAAGCTCAAAAAGGAAGTTTTACTCCATAGGGGTGCACAATTATCAATTTTGGAGACCACTGGTTTATGCGACTTCAGAACCAGACAAATGAAGCAGCATTTCCTCTTTTTCTAGAAGGAGGTAAAAATAATGGAGGAAGAACTGCATGCAGGGAAAAGTTTAAGTTGGCTGCATTTTTCAGTTACTTATCTGCAAGTTAAATCACCGGCAGCAAGTGATTTTTCAGAAATAGTTAAGTGCTTAGCTCACACTATGTCTAGTAGTTGAGCAACCCTTGAAAATCCCATGAGAGACTGACTGGTATCTAGAGGCTGCCAAAGGCCATTCAAAATCTTATTCTGGATAATTTAGGTTCAGGTCCATTGACTTTTGAAGAGATTTAAAATTCTAAATACATAAAACTCAGTTTCAGCAATAACTTATGCCACTGCATCACTTGGCCAGCTTTCCAATGCAGATGTAAGAAGTCAGCCTATTTGTATTTAAATTCCTTTCAGACATTCAGAAAAAAAAATCCCTACTAGTCACTTGACATTTTTTTTTCCTCTTCTTAAAATTCACTTACTAAAATATTCACTTCATTCCTGTAATGGCCACGGATAAGTAAGTATCAGCTGAGCAGAATATTAGTTACTAAAACTTTGGGGAAGATTTACTTAGTGGGTATGCATTGTTAAGGAATAGTGAAGCAAGGCAAACCATGTTGACAAGACCCTCTTTTCAAAAATCAGGTCATCCTGATTAAGGTCTTTTTTCTACCATTTCTGTTCCAGTGAGAATGACACTAAGCACTTTATTCAAGAATTAATCATTTTGAGATAAATTCCTTTATCCCACCTGAAAGTTTCCAAGCAGCAGGTAGCATTGTTTACAGCTCTGAAATTTTCCATATAACGTCCTCTAAAAATCAGAGTTGAAGCACGTCTTTAAAAACAGCCAAGAGAGCAGCTAGGGTAATGCAGGTTTTTTACATGGCATTTCTCTCACGTACTTTGATGTCAAACATCGAATGCTATGAAACAGAACACTTAACCAATTTGTTTTTCTAGTCATGCATCACATCCCTCCAAACTCCGGCACCAGGAGTTCACAGTACACACTAATTAAAACAGACAGTTTTCTCACAGAGCGAGGGACATTACTGCGTGACCGTTTCAGGATTTACGGCACCAATTTCATAGAACACTTAAGCACACGCTGACCTTTGGGCATGCAAGAACTCCATTTAAATAAAACCACCCACGCTGAAGGCTAAGCTCTCCTTGAGCCACTACCCACAATTACAGAACCCAGTAAATAATAACAAGAGATCTGGGGCCCCTTCTGCAGTTTTCCTAACAAAGAGGTGGTATCCTCACAGACCAATAGGCTCTGCAGTCTCCAATGTGACTCTAGGAAAAATACTTTCATCAGCTTCTCATGTTCTTGGCTATGCCTGTTCTTAAGTTCTTGAGCTAACACTACATAACCTGGGAATGGTATGTATCTATGCCCCCACACCTTTCGGACAGACACGTGCTCAGGACTATCTTCCCTCCTCCCTAATTCCTGTGCCTTGAATGACAGTTTTCTTCCTGTCAAATACAGTCACACATCTTGGAAGCTGCAGCCATATATTCCTGCCTCTCTATTTTCTGAAGCAAGTCTTCCACCAAATTCTTTTCTCCCCAAAGACATCATAACTCACCCAGCAGAATGGTCTGTAGAAGCTCAAATGTATCCTAGCATACTGGTACCCTGATGAGGCAGAGGCTGCATCCCTCTAGTGCATACATGCAGGTCCTATTGCATTTATGAAAACACCAGGCCCTCCGATCTTTAAGCACTATAATACTACAGGGACAGAAGCCAAAGGATGTCTGTCCTCCTCATCTTCAAGAGGCAACCACTGCTCAGGTGAAACCACAAAACTCTGCATCCAACCAGTATCTCTGAGAAAGAACACTGCATGCAATAAAAACAATTTACTGTTTTGGTGCTATGTTACTGCTCTTTAGATACCCTACCTGTTTGTGCCACCAAGTGGGTCCAGCCACTCCAGACTGCTCCAATCTTCTCGTGCAAGAAAAACTGAGTCTCAATCTTCTTGGGCTTAGCAAGAAAGATCTCTTTGCTCACTAGCTGCCCGTGTTTGTTGCTGCCCCAGACATAGAGGTGTCCTCCATCTACAGTCGACAAAGAGGTAAAATTTGTTGAGAGTGATATACATCAAACACCACCAGATGCAGGTTCCTCAGTTCAGTGATGCTGAAGAAAGAACAATGGTTCATTCACGTTTTCACTTTTTCCTACCATTCTTTACCACATGTGTGCACGCCGTAACTAGGATACCAGAAATATCTGTAAGGGCCTTAACACAGCCTGTTTTCCAAGGGCTGCACTGACTTGTGAAACAACCAGAGGTCTCAGGTCAAACTGCCTAGATCTCATTTCCACTGTGAGCCTCTCAAAGAGGACAAAGATGTTTACAGCAAAGGCTAATTTTTATTAGAAAACTAACCACAATTGTCAACTTCTCTGAAGAGAGAACGAAAAAAAAAAAATCAAAGCATCTTGGGGACACTCACTGAGCAGCCCCTCTCAGTTCCTGCAGGCTAGCTTTTACCTCTACCCCAAAGTTTTGATTCAGTCCAGTAAACAACTTCCTGAATCACAGCAAATAAGTTACTCCCCTCCAGTACCTGGGACTCTTCAAAGCCTGGCTGGCTGCACCTGCTCTGCATTAGTCCCCCAGCCTCTCTGCAAGAGCTACAGGCTCCTAGCTCTGCTCAGAACTCTCCCACCTTCTTTAGCTTCAGCAAATCCCCAAAGCTGGGACAGTCTGATGCTCCTTGCCTCACACTGCACAGTCACTTCCTAAAGGAATTGGACACACAGCTGTGAACATACAACTAAAGCAGGTACCACCAATCACAACGCAAAAAGTAAGATATCATGCCTCAGAACAATGCTGGACAACTAGTGAGAGACTTCTGTAAGTAATAACTTGTCTTCCCCCACCTCCTAGAATAAGCATTTGTGCAACGCGCACTCCAGGATTCCACCCACAGGGATAACTGTATTTACAGAAACATCCACTTTGCTTCGTGCATTTTACTGGTGTGAGTTGGAGTTGCTGACAGCCTAATGACCAATTGACGGTAACAATATGACTGTTCAGATATTACATATCATTAGTTCAATCTTTTCAGCACAAAATCATTCCGCTCAGGTTCTAGGCCTCCACGTTAAAAAAATACAATCCACAAGAAACACTTAACAGAACATGAGCTCTATCAGCCCTCCTGAAGTCCTTTGCCACCCTGTACAAGATGCAAGCATAAGAAATAAGTCTTGTACACATGAAGTACATGATCATTGGCCTCGAAACACCGGAAGCCATTAACATTTGCAACATGAAAGTGCTGGGAGCACACGTCCACAAGACAAGGCATCTGGAAGTCTCAGGTCAGCACTGAACTCTTTACAAGCAGCATGACCCAAGTAAATCTTTCAGAGGGGAAGAAAAAAAATAAAGCAGGACTTAGGCTACAATATATTTCATTATCTCAGTTTGGTAAAAGTAATAGAAAGTATGATCCAGGAAAACTCCCTATAGCACTGCTGGTGAGATACAAGAGAGAAGAGGGGGGTGGGAAAAGAAGTCAGTAGTTGTCATTACACATTACTGACAGTCATCTGCAGGACTTCCCACATGCCTCAATAAAACACCACAACTGAAATGAAAAGGAAAAACAAATCAGGCAATTGTTTCATTCGAATATTCCACTAAACTGATAAATTCCTTCCCAGAGTGACGTACGCACGCCTCACGGAGAGAGAAAGAAAAAAAAAACGGTGATGGTAACAGCTTGTTTCAACAAAAAATCATGGCCATTCATGTTTCACAACTAACATGCACTGCCTCTGTCACCTTTCTTTCTTCAGAAGGTGCGTTTCCTTTATCCTGGGGAACGTCACTTGTTCAACCCTCATCTCGTTTCTTGAGTAGGTTTTAACAAAAACTTAGACTTAGCACCATATCCCCACCACTGAAGCTTTCAGACCCATTTGGATACAGGTAGGCTACGATCCTTTCTTTAAAGGAACTGCCATTCATGTTTGCAACAACCCCATCTGTGCCAAAAACCTGCCTGATTGCAGGTGTTTGGTATCCAACCAGCAGGCGGCTCATGAAACAGAGCCAAAGAAAATTGCATCACAGCGTGAGAGATTCCTGGAAAAAAATCCCCAGTCAAATACTACACCCTACAGTAGTATCTTTACTATATCAAGTATCTTTATTTTAAGTAATAACAAGTATCTTGCAGAATGAAGGGCAGCAACAGCATAACGTTATTAAAATCTTTGGCGTTTAGTTAGCATTGGTCCCCCTGCTGTCAAATAGACTACTCTCTTAAATAAAAAGCAAAAGCTTGAAAGAATAATCTCTTCACTCTCTAAACAGAGTGCTAATTAGCTAAAGTAGAATCATTTGTCCTTACAGTTATTCTTCACTAATAGAATATAAACTTCACACATAAACTTTGCATCAATAGAATTCAACAGAATTTACATTGTGTAACATCTCCCCACACAACTAAATCTCTGTAGACCTGCATAAGCAAATACTCCAGTGCTCCATCTAATGATGACAGAGGTACCAGATGGCTGCATATTTGCTAAGAACTTGTTCCTATAAAGTTTGGCAGACTTATCATCATAAGGTTCAATACATTTCTTTTCCCACACTCCAAAACTGTAAGATTACAGCATGAAAAGCTATTCTGTTTCCCCTTCTCTCAGTCTACCAAACAAACCCAACCTGTATTAGAATTTTACTGCTGGATACTTAATACCCCAGCATGGGAGCACTGCCTAAAGGTCAAAGAACAAGTGGTAGATGTTTTGGAAGTGCCCAAATGATGAAATTAACTTACTACTGTTTTAAATAAGCACTATGCTCTTACATTACCTCACACAGATCTGCACACTGTTGTATTAGAGCCACCAAAGATCGCTTCAGACCATCTCACGTCCCTGCACAGTGCAGCCTCGTGCGGAGGCATCAGCTCACACAGCAGAAGCGGGATAGTCACAGCCATCTTTCTTGGGACAACCCCCTAACATAGCCTTTCTGGTTCCAGCATTCAGCCATTCAGAGTTACCCAATGCAGCATAAAGCTGCAGCTCCAGGGACCTACCCAACCATGTCCTTTCACAAGAGTTTCTAACCATTAAGAGCCAGACCCTCACTTACTCATAAGGGCTAAGTCACACCTGATCCCAAGAAAAAAACCACACAGAATTCAGACAATCCAAAACATGAATCCAGCTCTTTGAATCCAAAGCTGCTACAAAATAATTAGCCAGCACTAACTAACAAAGCCAGATCAATTTTTACCAGTCTAACCAAAATTGACAAACATTTTGAAAGCACAAAAACTTTCACAGGCAAGACAAGGACTTTCACTTCTATACCCAAGGCCTACCTGTGAGTGACACTGAATGATAGGAGCTTGCAGCAACCCTCTTCACCTTTACGTCTTCCAGACCTAGAGAAAAGTTAGTGTCATAAAATTTGGACAGCAGATATCATTTCATGCATAAACATAAAATAGAGCTGTATCAAGTGTAGCAGGTTGATGATTAATTTTATAAACAAAAGCCTGTGCTTTGGGCCACAGACAATGCAAGACTCACAATCATTTCCCCCACAGATTATGGCCTCGTACACCCATTCTACCCTTCAGCTACTCCACTACGTGGTTACAACACCAAGTGGTTTTATAATAAAAGGATGCTACATGTTACTCAATTTATACTTCTGCTCTATCCACCTTTACAAAGGAATCAGATTCTTGGATTACCTGTTACCTCACAAGGCTCCTTTGCTGTCAAGAACAGGGGGAGGGTCTTTCCTTGGACTGCACGCCTTGCCCGTGATGCCATGCCAGTTCCCCACTGAAACACCAAACCGCTCTCTTTCCAGAGTAAACACAGATAGAAGAGATTAAACACATCAACCAACAAAATCACTTATCCCATTAATTAGTTTTAAAGGTATATTCACTTCATTTTAAAGTGCAGTTTGAATCAGTGTAAAGACCTTTATGCCAAAAACATACTTCATAAACATACGAATAACCCTGGTGAAGTAATCAAGCAACAAACAGTTGTAGTCCCACTTATGCAGGTAAGAAAACTAAGAAGATATTCAGCAGCCCATCTCTGCACTCTGAGACCTACATCATTCCTTTGAAAATGATGATCTCTGAGGATTACATCACCATTGTTGAGGATTCAGTAACAAAAGTTCCACAGTTGTAGCGCCTCAGGAACGGACACAATTTATTTCTTACTATAAGTTCATTGTACTTTTTCTGCTCCTTCCTTCACTTCATGCTAATTTGTTTGGGCAGTCCAGGACACTGAGGGAGTAAAGTCATAGAATCATAGAATGGTTTGGGTTGGAAGGGACCTTAAAGATCATCTAGTTCCAACCCCCCTGCCATGGGCAGGAACACCTTCCACTAGACCGGGTTGCTCAATGCCAAAATAGAATCACAGCATGTCACTTGTCCTCAGGACCTTTCAGAGACTTGACCTAGCCCTGAATTCAAACGTCCACTGAGCACAGAGCTCAGGGAAGCTTAATTCCCAGTATTCATACAGGCACCAGAGTTCCCACTCTTCTTCCAAGCATCTCCTTTGCATCTTCAGCTAGACTACACTACCTGTAACCCATACTACAGTTCACATAAAATGAAACCAAAATAAAAGAGTATGTGTAGTTTGTTGATCCTCAGTTGTAAAAAAAGCTAAACTGAATTTCATCCCTGATCCATTAAAGCTCTATTTCCTTTGTTACTGAACTGACATATCAATGATGACATATTTACCTGTAGCAGCAAGGGCATGTCTCAGTCCTGCAGCAACATCCACCACCTTCTCTTTGAGAGACTATGCAAGTAAAAGAAAAATATATTTTAGTTACTTTTTGCATTTAGTGCCTCTAAAAGCAAAATATGCCAAACACAGAAGTGGAATGCTATGAAAATAGTTCTCACAGTTCCAGCCTGCATGTCACAATGCATATCAACGTTTTGTATCACAAAGGAAGTAAATTTTGGCCAACAAGAATTAATCAAGCAAAGCAACTGGATGTACAGTCTTGTGGCAATAAATAAAAAGCCACAGTCAATATCCCCCCATGAAAAAAGAAATCTTCGTGGTGATAGATATGCTTATTTCTTAAAATTAACTCAGTGCTCCTCAAGAATTACACCAAAAGCTCAGCAAATACCAGTGACAAGCAGCAATAAATGCCATCAAGTTGTTCAGTATTATCAAGCCCTCTGATCACAAACAGTACAGTTGACAGCACCACCTACACCACTGAAGGCTGCCCAAGGTGATCGTGCAAAAGAAGACTATACCAAGTCACACACACGTAAAATAACTGACTTCAGTTTGCACAAGGTACTTCAATTCTGGCACTTCCCCACTTCTGAGTACTCTGCAAATCTATTATTCTTCTCACAGACCTAACACTATTTAAAATAGATGGCATCAAGCCCAAGCATTTAACAGGATACAAACCAAAAGACAAAATATTCCAGATAAATGAATGGTCCACTTTGTCAAAGAGGACACAGATTCAGATTAGCACTGCCAACACTACCATTTTCAAGGCATCATACCAGAATGATGCTCCCCGGAAATGTTAAGGATACAGAAACATAAGGTGAGTTAACCCTATTCAATAGGGGTTACCTAGGGGATCAGTTGTCCTTCCTCTCCTACATTAAAAAAGGCAAAGGAATATCTGGCAGGAGCCACGAGGATAAACTTCTTGTCTGAGAATCTTTTCTACTCTGAAGTTATTGCTTTCATTAGACATGTGGATGGAAAAGAGTTTCCTTAGTGTTCTCCAAATAAGAAACTACAGTGTAAATTAGGCAATAATTAGAATTCCTGTGAGAAAATTATTTAAACTGTTAGGCTTACAGCCAACAAGAAGAAAGCTTTTCTGATGCTACAGCTGTCTCAGTACCTTTTACTTAAAACATTTTAAAGCAATTAATTTGGGGCTATATTCTGAGCTCCCTACTCACACTCAGCAGTGCCTCACCTACAAATATCACCACAGACCTCCACATGACTCACAGGAACAACATGAGGTGTGCTGTCAGAGTCCAGCCTTCAGCACTGAAGATGCTCGACAACAGAGACATTGTTACCTAACTTGCCTTCCTATCTCCCTGGAAGTTGATACTGTTTGGTAAATGCTGGAGGTTAGATACGAAGCAAGTCAACGTACTCATCAGTTCCCTTACATGCAAAGGTAAAATTCATTTTAACCTCAGAAGCAACAAAATTAAAGTTTATTCTCTCAGGTCTAGTTTTCCTGCAGCTACATACTTTCTCACACTACTATTATTTTGGGGGTGACAAAACTTACTTTTATATGTTTTTACAGCCAAGAAATAATACCACAGTCCTTATCGGGTGGGCGGGGGGTGGAAGAAACTCTGACAGTTAAAAATACACTTTAAAAAGCACCATGTACTTACAAACAGAACTGCTGCACAAGAAGCACAAGAGCAACAGATCAAAATAATTGGCAGAGCTGACTGTGTTGAACCCCATTATGGATTTTGTTTTTTTCTGGGGTGGATTACTGTTGAGTCATTTTGTTTTGCTTTGAGCTGTTAAGCAAAAGTCTCCAACAAAGTACAGTGAAGGCACATACCCTTCATGTAGCAAAACATATCTAGTATCTTACACACTTGAGGCAAAACTTCAGCTGGAGTAAATCCACACAATTTCACTACCTTTAGTAGCACTTTACATCATTTCTGGCTTAAAGTCCACTGAGGTCAAATGACCTTTATAAGTCACTGTAAGCAATACAAAGTACAGCGCTCTGAAGTACAATTACTTTGAAATCTTTACCTCAATCTTTTGTGGAATCAAGCACGGACCTGATATTTGAGGAACTCCTAATTGTCCGAAAGAGTTAGACCCACAGGACAGAACTAGGCCAGAACCTGCAAAATGAGGTGTTAGAGCCCAATCAGTAAATCTGTGAGCAGAAGCAATGCCCTGTAACATTCTAACAAGCAAAGCATCACAGCCGAGTAGCTCAAGAAAGGACCTGACAACCCACTGCAGAGCTACCGAGGCCATCGGCTTCCAGTCTTACACATCCTCAGCAGTAAAGGTCTGAAGTTCACTGGGATACAGTGCACATGGAGCAATTTAGTTCTCAAGGCAAGTAGCCTTAAACTCGTGAGTGCCCATGTGTCGCACACACAGTAGCAGTGTGGAACTCTCAGTGTGTTCTCTGTATCACTCTATTTGTCCAGATCTTACAGAGACATATTTACCTACTAATATGATTGTAAAATCCCAGCCGCAGGCAACTTGTTTTACGCAAAAGCCAGACAGGGCTGTGCACAAAGTAAAATGCAGTACATCCTCTGTGTGATTCAATCCCAACTGCCCCTCTTTGTTATGGCCACATACAAAGAGTTCTCCCATGCCTGGAAGAAAAAACAAAGAGTAAATCAGTTATACTTCACAGACTGAAAAGATAAGTGTACATACCATGAGATCTTGTAACAAACATGCCATTTTAGGCACTGCAATCAAGCAAAAAGAAGAAGAAACAGTTATTTCTGATGCACCAGAAACACCTCAGAAAAAGCACAGTTAGAGAGTCAAGGGAAACAATCCATATGGTAAGACAGGCACCTCTCACTAAGATCTGTGATGAAGTTTTTCATCATGTTCACACCTGCATGTATCCCTCCTTTCCCAGAATTAGCTATGGCATACAGCAGAACCTTTTAAAGCCCAGATGTTATCTTCTGCTCCTTACCTTCAAACTTCAAGATTAAATAACCTCCCACTTGACTTCTCCCTTCCAGCCCCACATCCTCTATACAGAAAAATTGGCTGCTTTGTACAAAAAACTGTGAGATTAAACAGGTGAAGAAACAGTCGTCACATAACCAGAAAGCAACCAGAGAAGATAAACAAAAGTGGCATTTTCCCAACTCTCCCAAAATATTGAGTTATTTGGCATGGGAGAAACATGTTTTGCAGCTAAGAACTGGTACTTGCTCAGAAACAGAAGCCACAGATAGGTGGCAGCACCAAATCAACAGGGAAACAGAAAAAAAACGTGTTTAGAAGTCACACACTCCTTGCAAGTGCAATGTTTTTACCAGTGATAACTGCAGAATGTCCCCCTCCTCCAGTAATGCTTTTAATGTCTTGACATTTGCAGGAAACATGTTTCAGTGCCTGAGGCACCAGCACATCCTCTTTATGACCAAGACCAAGTTGTCCATAGCTGTTTGCACCCTTCAAATACACACGGGGGGGGAGGGGGGGAGAGAAAAAAAAAAAAAAAGACACATTACTTCAAAGAACTTAACAAAGAGAGATACACATCTGCTCTGAGGAGCAAAGAAGCTTATCAAGGACATGTCACTGCTTAACCTGCCAGTATTTGCTCCTGAAATCCCCCAAAATAGCAATCTTCATTCTTAACCGCTGTCATACACAACCCCCAGAATCACTATCAGGACTGAATTTGCTCATTAAGGTTGCCCATGCAACCCCAGTATCTTAAGAAACATACTGCAATGTATCCTGGTAAGACTTTAACTGCAGGCTAATAGTTACTAAAGGGGGAAAGGATGATTACAACCTGTTTAATATTAATGCTAATGATTCCCACTCATCACTAAGATCTTATTCATGCCAATGCTTTCTGGCAGTCCACCTCCAAAACAAGATCAGAAAGACACGCTATCTTATTATGGTACCTAAACAAGTAAAGCAGAAACATCCCTCACTAACTTAAGTCTTTTCATTTAAAGGGTCCAAAATGAAAATATAAGTTTATAACAACTATAACTGATGTAAGTACAAAGTTATAGCCACTAAATCAATCATGGAAAGCAACCACTGACAACACAGTAACGCATGAGGGAATCTTATCCAGTTTAAGGTCTATTAAGTGTCCAACAGTTTGAAAAAGAACCTTCCTTCCCAAAGGTGGATTCCCTAACTTTCCCAGCCCACACACTGCGTAACAGCAACACCCACATTCCCGTCACTGGTGATCCCAGGGGGTCGTTCCCAAGCAGTGCCAGTCGCCCCTCTTTGCCCTCACACACAGACGAAGGTGCAGCGCCTGATGTCTTTCACTTAAATTGACACATTTAGCAGCAAACATTGTATACCTACAGAAACAGCATTTCAGGCAAAAGCACCAGGCTGCTCGCCTCAGCCCAGAGCTCGCAGGTGGGTGAGGTGTCAGGATTCGAGCTCAACAGGTTGAGACCAAGTTGTTGTCTCCCGGTGGGCAGTTGTAGGGCATGTCACCACCTGTCACACGCGACTCGGTTTCGAAGGTTTGTCACCAGCTCTCCTTTTATCCCGGAACTTACAGTGATTTTTCCAAGTCTTCAAAACCAGGCGAGAGAGGGCACAGAAAGCAAGCGGTGCCTGAGGAGATGCAAGCCGCACCGAGTGCCTACCCAGCGCTGACACACCTTC